ATCAAAATCGAGAAGAGAAAATTTGGAGGAAAGCTTAATAGATTTTTTTTCCTGGTAAAAGGTCAAATTACATTACTTTCTTGCATGAACTTTTTTTTTAATACCTGTAATAACCAAGTCATCATACTTGGGCCTCCCTGTATACTAAATTTTGAAATTATTGAAATCAGATATTTGAATTTCGATTTTGTACATAATCCATTAATGATTATGCATAAATATACGTATAATATATATATTACTTGTAATAGATTGAAGTTTGAGATTCCAATGTAAATTGATCTTTAATCGCATGGTTTTAATGGGCCAACAGATATCAAGTTACAGTGGACTCTTCTGATGAGTTTGTGAGCATTTTTATTGAAATTAAGAAGAAAAACAGTTTAATTCTCGTTTGCTCATTTCTAACATTTAGGTAAGTACGAATCAGATTTCAATCTAAAGGTATTTCTATTTATAAATTCTACGTCTTTAAATTAAAATGATGAAGAAAGAGTTTCAAAAATCATTCTAATATAGAGTAGGTATGCGCCAAGTGCTAAATTTAACCCGAAATGCTCCCATTAATCGGTGAACATTGAAATTTTCCAGACATCCATACATCTCATTAAACTTGTCTTATGGTAAAACACGGCGCCTTGAAGAAGCTCACTTCTACAATTCGAGAAATAGGAGAAATAAAAAACAACAAGAAAATCGATAAGGCCTCTTTTAACGGTTTCTATTGAGATTTATTAACTTAAAGTAGTGGCGGTTTTTCTGTACGAGCTGCGAAGATGCAAAACAAAAATGTTTTCTACATTAAACTCTAAACTAAAAATATTATCTTTCCGTATTTATTTGTTTACAATTAGTTCTTATTAACCATTTTGAATAAATGCAATTTATATAATCTACGGTTGATCTTTTCAGTATGTACCATAGTTTAGACTTAAGGCGCTGAAATGGAAACAGCTAATCGCATGGACATTAGTCAAGTACATGTTAGACATCACCAAGAGGAAAGTTAGACATGTCCTTCCACCATAGTATCGCAAGAAAAAGCTCTAAATTTATTTATATACTTGTATACATTTTACGTAGAATTTTTTCAGGAATTCAAATAAAATAGCTTATTTAATGATTTATGTTAAAATTAATTCATTAATTTTTATTTTCTGGTACATCTCCGCCTCTACAGATCATATATAGAACCCAAAAAAACGTTAAACTATTCGCCAGGGAAGAAGTTAGAATATCCTTATAATGTAGGATATTGAAATGAACAAATTTTGCAATTTATTTGGTGTAATATATAACGTCATTTTACTTACGAGTGTTCAACATTCTGTATTATTTCAATTTATCTTTAATTAAAAATTTAGTTACGTAGAATGTTTTGATTAGATTAGGCTAGCGTCCCTTTAAGACAGTATTCAATGACACCCCTCAATTCATTTTAAACGGCCTATATTGAGGACAAGTTTGCATTCCAGTGACTTTTCTTTTTTGCAGACTACATGTGCACGCCGCCACTGGTTCGTAGCAAAATTTGCGAAGACTGGAGACCG